TTTTTGAATAGTTTCGTGATTTTTCTTGTGTAGTTTCCGTTATATGTGTAGGATACCCATTTCTGTTCTCTTCTTTCAATGGGGGTGTTTGTTTTTTGTTGTTGAAGTTTATGATACATTCGTGTGATGAGTTCTTTATTGTATCCATTGTTTTCCGCGATGTTAATAATTGTGTTTAATTCTTTATTTTTTGCTGTGTTATCCATAGGTAGGATGGTTAATCTATGTAGCCAATTTTTGTATGTCGCCAATTTTTGTTCTTTGGGATGACAAGATTTATTGTTTATCGTTGTGTCTGTCGTTGTGGGTTTTCTAAATATCTCCATTCTTACTTGCCCGTGGTTGTTAATTAGTTTTAAGTCTAGGTACGTTATTTGATTATTTTCCTCTTCATTTAGTGTGAATTGTGGATCCACTTCTTGTGGATTGTGATGTTTTGGCATGGGATGTCCCAAATGATGTTGCATCATTATAACACCAAATATTATCGATAATGACCATAATAGAGTCCCTGAAATTTACATAAGAATGTGACAGAGAGATAATGAATTTAAAGTGAGTAAGTTATACTGTCCAGTGGAGTGGGTGCAGAACCTCTTGTCACCAGCTGCCTGCTGACAGTTTTTAGAATGTGACAAATTTCCAACCAAAAGGGTAGATTTCTATTCCATGTGCCAAAATTCTGTGCTAGCTGCCCTAATTATACATGACTCTGTGGTGTTACTTTCCATGATTAATGCCTTGCCAATCCTGGATTGGCTGGGGATCCTAACAAATAATTTTACTGCGTCTTCCAGAAGATGGATGTCCTATTACTTTTTTTACAGGTGAGAGAAGGTGACATGGTGACCTAATGTGGTCCTGAATATTGTGTCATTGGAAGTGCTCTGTATAATCATTTTTGTTTGTTCCTCATACTTGCTTTTACCTAGGTGAACCATCTGGCATGAAATGCAGGAAGGCATATTGTTTGGTGTAATGAAGCACCCAGTTTGTTCAGAAAAATGGCAGTAAACCACTACATCTTTGAATCCAAACATATTCTGCCTATTGAATTACTGTCCAGATCTTTTGCTTAGCACCATCCAGGAATTGAACTGGCAATGATCTGTTGTGCAAGGTTGATGAAATTGTGTGTTAATTAAATTGGGATACATTGTGCATGAATCAATAAAGGAAGATCTTGTGCAAGGGTCTTCTAATGTGGACGTGAGAGCTGAGAAATGCATGCAGTTACTGTTACAGAACATAATGGGAGGAGGCCACTTGGGACATCTGGAAGATAGTGTAGTTAAATAAAACTGATGTTGACTTCCTTAAACAGTAGGGACCAATATATGACTGTTGTGAACATAATAATGAACTTTCAGGGTCTGTGGACTGCCTCTGTGGTCTGGTGGTCAGAATTCCTGGCTACAGATCCAGAGGTCCGGGTTCGATTTTCGGCGATACCACATTTTCCGAGAAGTGGTGAGTCTGGAATGGGGTCCACTCAGCCTTGTGAGGATAATTGAGGACCTATTTCAAGGAAATAGCGGCTCTGGTCTAGAAAATCAAAATTAACGGCCATGGGGATTTGTTGTGCTGACCACGCAACACCCTATATTCGCTAAAGTTGGCATTAACTTCTCTGGAAAGTGGCAGTCGCTCGGTCAGTATAGTTTGCTTGCAGACTAAAACAAAGGAGTTTTTTTTTGGGGGGGGGGGGGGGGGG